GACTAAAAATTTTAACAGTAACTTAGGATTTTGAAAGGAAAGAAAGGAACTTTCACTTAATTACTACAATACTTAGCTAGACTTATCACTTGTGGGATTTTTTTTTTTTTTTTAAATTTTTCTATAGTCCTAAAAATGGGAGGATAATACAAGCGCTGGAGACAATCTTAGCTAGAAAAACGAAAAGCATGTACTAAAAATGGTTGTTGCTAGGAAGCCAATATGATCAGCATTCCTTGGTTATGTAAGTCAATCGCGTCCTGACTTCTAAAGGTGCTGCCTAGTTTAGTTTGCTTCTGTTGTTGTCACTTTAAGCTTTCCTGGACTTCCGTGAGTATTCCCTTCCCTGCATTTGTTGCCCCCACTCTATAAGACCAAGCCTTAGAATTTCGCTGTAAAGCTAGGATTCTGCTTTTTGTTTTGCTTTGACACTCCATGTTCCTCCAACCATCCGCTTTCTAGCAAGAAGAATGATTTTCGGATTGAAAAATTCTCCCAAGTGATAATATCATTTCCCCCCCTAGGTTTTGACTCTGTTAGTCTATGCCTTTTGTTGTCATGGGTTTTTGTAACATATTCTCAAGTTCATCTAACATGGTCATTGTGTTTTCTTCCCCTTTTCACTGATCACCATGCATAAGAGCTGAATTCTCAAATCAATTTCTTTCCTGAAATATTTGAATGAATTGCATTACTTTCAAGAAGAAAGAACTACAGTAGACTACCCCACTAGCAAAAATATGTTTTCTCATTTATTTCTCCCCAATATTTGTTAGTTTCTTATGTGAAGTTATAGGATAAAAATCATAATAGCTCCTTAGGGAAAATGACGATACATTTTAATTTCTGATTATCTAAAGCCCCAACTTTAATGAAATATCGTAAACAGTTTCCAATTGGAGCAGGGAAAAGAAGAGAAAATGTTATGTGAATACATGTTTCAATATTTTATGGCAGTGGTAATGATCCTTGCACCAGCTTGCTTGATATGAACTTTTTGTTTTTAAATGGTTTCAGTTGGTCCTTTTTTGTCTTGTAGGCTTCTGAAGTTACATTCACCTCTTCTACACAATGTTCATACCCCTCGAGTCCAGCATTTGGTCTTGGCTTAACAGCTGCTGTGGCTCTTTTGATTGCTCAAATAATCATAAATGGTTCAACCGGGTGCATTTGTTGCAAAAGAAGCCCTGAACCTTGGAACTCTAATTGGACAAGAGCCCTCATATGCTTTGTTACTTCTTGGTAATTCTTAACCATAGCATGAGCATAAAAACTTCACTCCATTATGGTGCTTATGATATATATATCTTAAAGTGAATTTAATGAATCAAAGTGAGATACTTTATTATGTTTTATATGTCTAAATCAAAAACATGCTTTAACTTCTACTTCTTACTGCAATGAAATGTTATATATAGTTTCTTCATGCATATAGTTTCTTAGAAAATATAGTTATGGTTAGATTACCTCTTTCTCAATCCTTCCTATCTCTCTCATAATACTATTCCTTTCTCCCACTTCATTTTGTACATTTAGTTTAGTTTACCATTTTACCCTTTAAATGAAATATGAAGGGGCTCTAATAGTCTATTTGTAATTTTTGATGGATATGGAGGCAAGTTGGTCTTTAAGGTGGTGGAGTCAGTGTGTATCTAAATTGGTCTTTTTATCCTTCAAACATAATGGCTTCTTACTCACTGATTCTTTGACTTTTTTGTAATCTAATAATAAGAATCCTGAGTCCCACTCTCTTCCTATCTCTCTCATCACTCCTTTCCTCTTCCTTTCTCTCACCTCATTCTCTAATAGTGAATAGCATGTCTATGTGAAAGGAGAAGAAATTTTTTTGACTTTGGAGGGCAATTTTGTAAGTGACAAATGGCATACCTTTGTGAGAAAAGAAGAAATTTTTTTGAATTTGGGGGGCAATCTTGTAAGTGGCAAATGACATACCATTATGAGAGGAGAACTTTCTTTGAGTTTAAGGTTCATTTTGCAAATTTCAGTTTATTTTGAGCACCATCTTTGTAGGAATTTTTGGAAAGGATTATTTTTGCTATATTTCTATCATTTTGTAATATTAATGTATTTTTAGGATTTAATTAGCATAATTCCATTTTGATCAAAATGGAATTCCCATGGAGGTCATTTTGGTTAGTAATTATTAAGTTATGCCCTTTGTATTTGTTTGGAAAAACTTACATGGTTTATAGTATTATTGATGATATATAGTAAATCAAAAGGTTTAGGTTTGACAGAACAAAGAGTTAACAAAATCAATTTGGTTTAAATGAGTAGGGATCCATGTACACTCAAATCTTATGCACCACACTTACACAAAATCTCAACCATTCATCTCAACTATTCATCTCTGCACTTTTAATGATTGAAATTTATTCACATTTATTAAAGATAATTATATTTTTTATCCAAAAAGTTATGATAAATCTTAACCATTGAAAGTGGAGAGATGAATTGTCAAGATTTTGTGTAAGTATAATGTGTAAGACTTGTGTGTAAATGGATCCCCTTTTCATATATGTAATAATGCGAAAGGAAAGCCTGGTTCTAAGTTGTTCAAGAATAGTGACATTGTTGAGTTTCTCAACTCAAATATTTCATGAATTAATTAAAAACTTATATTTTTATGAATTTTAGTACATGTAAAATTGTTCAAATACCCTTAATATTGTAAATGTTGATTCATTTAAGGGTATTTAAGGATTTTCATTATCATTCTTGGACATCCCAATTTTCATCAATCTCTGTAGTCATTCCATTTAAAGAAAATGATTCCCACGTTGTATATCATGCAAACTAGTGAATATTGATGGCACTTGAAGTCATATGCACCTGGGAATTGCAAATTTTGATATGAAAATGATCTGAGTTAGTGCCGGGGAAAAAAATACTTCTCTTTTGCATGGGGTTTGACTTGAAGAGTATTCTACTTAACATTCTATCCTGGACCAAATGGATGAGTAGTGGTGTCCTTGTTGTATTATTGGCGGACTTGGAATTTTTCAATTACCATAATCTTAGTATTTGGAATTGGAAGGGTTGGACTTAAAATGAGAGATCACTTTTATCCATCTAACTTTAGCAGTACAGTTGTTGGGTGTTTGATAAACAAGGTTTTCTTGTGCTTAGTTTGGTTTCATTTTTAGTTTATCTTGTTAGTTTTGATTAATGAGTTGTCTTGGCCAAGAAAGCCAAGGGGTGTTCCTGAAATGACAGAATCTTGAATCATTTTTTGTTATTGGTAATTTGGTATAATAAAAGTTGGCTGCTTGGTATAACAAGGGTTTGAAATTTGACCTCTTGACCCTAATCCAAATCAAGGATTCAAGTTAGTGGGTACTAACTCAACTGATCTTTTGTTGGTCAATCTTGGATTGTTAACGTGCCTGTAGAAAGCATGGGGAGTTGAAGATAGATGATCAAATGAAGTGTGACTACCATATGCTTTTGTGACCTAACAATGTATACATATATACACAAAGTAGAGATCAACTTATGCATGTTGAAAGATATGGGTTCTCATTTTTTTTATTGGAAAACGAGAAAGTAGTTAATATATATGTTTTGATTGTGATTGCCAGTGTATGTAATTGATTCATGCTCCTGCAGGTTCACGTTTGTTATAGCTTTCCTTCTCTTGCTGACTGGTGCAGCACTCAATGATGAGCATGGTGAGCAGACTGTCTACTTTGGCAACTACTACTGCTATGTTGTGAAACCTGGAGTTTTTTCATGCGGTGCTCTCTTATCTCTCGTGAGTGTCACCCTCGGAATTCTGTATTATCTGACCATAAACCTGAGAAAAACTAGCAATGGCACATGGGGCAGTGCTGTTCCTAATCAAGGTGGCATTGCAATGGGACAACCTCAGTTCCCGCCCCAGAGCACTGCAGGTCCGGTTTTTGTACATGAAGATACTTACATGAGACGCCAGTTCCCTTGATCAGTGAACTTACCACTTAATGCAGTCAGTCATGTTAGCATGGAGAGTCTACTTCAAGTATATATTGAGAGATAGTCTGGATGCAGGGATGTATAAAAGGGGAGTACGTTGTTGAAGTTATCCCAATGTAGGATGTTTGTTTTGACATGTGGGAGTTCCTTTGTTCAGTTGGAGTGTATATTACATACTAGAAAATGTGCACAATGTGGTAAACATTGTCTTAACAGAATTATAATAATACGATGATACATTGAGTGTTTTTATTTTATTTTATTTTTTTTAATTTACTCTCTTGAAAAGTAGAAATTGGGAAACTAAAACATTAAGCTTATGTTTAGTATAATTGTGTTTTTTGATTTCTAATTTTGATTTTCATATATTTTGGAGTAACTGAAAATTAAAATTCAGTGTTTTTCAATTCTGTCTGATTTGATTGGTTGAACAAGGGAAACTGATATTAATTTATAAATCTAATTATGGTAAAAATACAAATCTATTTATAAGTTTAAATTACAAAATATAGATTATTAGATGGGAGGACCCCTAGTATCAATTTAATAAAATTTGAACCAGCCTATCAGACTTATTGGTTTACCATCTAAGCATAAAAATTTGGATTTAAATAGATTGAAAGTTCTACTCTCATCTATTATTTGAAAAAAAAATTTCCTCTTCCCTAAATTCTCTCATGTTCAAAAAAAAAAAAAATCAATAAAAATTCAGATTGCACAGCAGTATTTTCTTTTTCTCAACTTTCGTTTCTTTGGGTAAATCACAGCCTTTGATAAGCTTTGATCTAATAGTCAAGATTCACCATTTCAACTGCCCATCTTCACCGTTATATTAAAATGATCCAATGACACTTTATCTTAGCACACGATTGACATCTCCCATTTATTGAAACCCAACGCTTGTGTTTTAATATGAGAATTCTTGTTATCAATTTTTTTGTAACTACAAAATCAAGTGAAAATTTAAAAGTTAATACTCACTATTTATTTTTTAAAAATAATTTTATAATTAATTAAAAGATAATTTTTAATTGATTACTCATCTATAGGGACCCTTAAATGATTTTACCTCCCTATGAGATATTTAGTCTTAAAAACTTTCATAATCATTGTTAGAAGCAAACTCTTCGTACATTTTTCACTTTCTTTTTTGAATGAACCAAAATGACTTTGATGATTTTGTATAATAAAATATTATCATTTTTAATAATCTTATTCAAAGTCACTGTCAAATTCTAGTAGTACAAGAGTTTTCATTAAAGAGCTGAATTTCTTCATATAAAGATTTTCCAAATGACAAATTTAAAATTATTGTAAAGTTCTAAAATTTGGTATTAAGTTTTAAAATATTTTCATCCTTTGACCTTCCAAATTTATTAGAGAAATTTGAAAAGTTCCAACATAGGTTTATTAGAGAATCATAAGTTCTAGAACCCTCAAAGTCAATTACATAAGTTTGAGAATTTTTCATATTGTTCTAAAACATTTTCATTCACTAACCCTTCTCAAGATTGCAGGAATTTTACAATGTTTTATAATAATTGTTTTTAATAGCATCAAAATACACAAATTCTCATTTAAAATAATATGACGATTTTAAATCAAATGATTACTTACACTTGTGCCATGCATAAAAAAACTACTAATGACATAATGCATATAGAGTTCTAATAACGGGTTAATTTAATAGACCCACTTGCTTTAACCACCCACATATACGACATAACTTGGTGAAATAAAGTCCACCTATGGAGCATAGGTTCGAAAATGCCTTTCTCAAAACCTTTTCAAATCTATTTGAAATTCGGCCCAAAAAATCTAAATTAGGATTAGACACACAGCCATAGGTTTGAAAGATGATTTGTTATTCAATTTTCTTAGTTAACTTAAAAATTAGGTGATTAATTCAAGAATTCCTCTATTAATAAAGAGGTAGGCTTAATTTAATAAGCAGTTTGCTAACTTTTGTACTTTTTTTTTTTTGTTTTATCTATTATCTCAAGTCTATTTAATATCTTTTACTTTAATTTTAATCTAGTTTAATCTGTTAACCTTCTAATAATAAGTTCGCTCTATTTTGTCAAATTGGTCTTTAATCATATTTTTAATAAATCTTTACTCTTTAAATTTAATTTTGAGATAAAACTAATTTTATAATAATGATAAATTCCTTTTCACTATTGAAAGGATTATAACCTTTATTACATGTTGTTTTAACTTTTTGTTTTAACAATTCTCTTTTGTAGCATAAATCATAATTATTTATGTACTTTAATAATTTACACAATCTATCATGAATTAATTTATTGGTTGGGACTTTTCTGCTTTATTTTTAGTTTAACTTTTTTTTTTGTTAAAATTAATGGAATTTTAGTATAGTATACTATTTTGGAATATTTTACAAAATTTATAGATCATTTAGAAAAAAAAATTAAATTTCTAGATTAAAATAAAATTAAAGTGATAATTAATAGACTAATCATTAAATTAAGCCTAAAGAGATATGCTAAA